TTCACTCATGAAACCGTGAATCACACAGACTGTAACCCTAATTAAAATCATACTGAAAAACATAAAAGTATGTTAATTATTTCATATGAGGCATGAACTATGGCAAGTATTTCTAAGGCTTTGTAGTTTGTAATACCTTTAATAATTACATGGTATTACATCACATGTCAAGATATGTATGCAGCATTTTTAATATCAAAGCCAGACTTGTTACAGAGACAATTCAGTTACAAATAATATCAATAGAAAGCCAGTATTACATTTTTGTTTTAATTGCAGTCCTGGATAATGTCTTACAGCCCAAATAGTGAGAATTTATCATATAAATATTTATTTTACATTATGATCTATATTCTTAGCAGTTAACATGTGGTTTTAATATAACACTCAATCATAATAGTGAACAGATCTATTTGAAGACAAGTTGACCATTTGTTATAAGAAAACAATTTTAGTATACTGTATAAAAGATAGAGTATGGATGTTACCAAAAGTAGCATAGAAACAATTTGATATGCATAAAGATAACATTTTGCCCAATTTTCTTTCAATGTTATATAAAAAGTACTAAAAAGCTTTAAGTACCATCTCTATGCTGATGACACACAAATCTATCTTTCTACCCCTCACCTCACCCCTTCAGTCTCCTCTCGCATTACTAACCTAATAAGCGACATACCGGCATGGATGTCACTCCACTTCCTCAAACTCAATCTTTCAAAAAACTTAGCTCTTAGTATTCCCTCCAGCCCGTGCCCCCTCCCCTGACTTCTCCATCAAGATCAACAACACAATCATCATTCCCTCCCCTCTTGCCAGGGTACTAGGTGTAATCCTAGACTCCATCTGTCCTTTCACCCCCAGATCCAATCACTGTCCAAATCTTGTAGACTTCACCTCTGCAAGATCTCCAAGATATGCCCGTTCCTAACCTCGGAAACCACTAAGCAACTTTTTCACTGCCTTGTTATATCTCGCCTTGACTATTGTAACTCCCTCCTCATTGGCCGACCTAATCACAGGCTATCCCCTTTTCAGTCTATCATGAATGCTGCTGCCAGACTTATCCACCTTACTAACCGTTCTTTATCAGCCACCCCTCTCTGCCAATCCCTCCACTGGCTTCCCATTGCCCAACGGATAAAATTCAAAACACTAACAATAACGTAGCCATTTATAACTCTGCCCCAAATTACATCAACGATCTTGTCTCCAAATATCACCCAAACCGTACTCTCCGCTCCTCGCAAGACCTCCTGCTCTCTATCTCCCTTGTCTCCTCCTCCCATGCTCGTCTCCAGGACTTTTCCAGATCTTCCCCCATCCTCTGGAACTCTCTACCCCAATTTATCAGACTATCGCCTACTCTGCTCACTTTTAGGCGATCTCTGAAAACCTATCTCTTCAGGGAGGCCTGTCCTGCCCTTAGCTAATAATGGAATCTTCTACTCTTCCAACCAGTCCATCCTCCACAGTTACTACCTTTTGTACCACTAGCCCCTCCCACCTAGATTGTAAGCTCCAAGGAGCGGGGCCCTCCTTTCCCTCTTGTATTGAGCTGTATTGTTGCTGTATTGTCTCCCGTTATATTGTAAAGCGCTGAGCAAACTGTTGGCGCTATATAAATCCTGTATAATAATAATAATAATAATAAAAAGCAGTTTAAATAGATTTAAGTACATTTAGATTACATTTTTACATTCAAAGATTAACTAAAGGCAAAATTGTTTTTCATTTTGGACATGGAGATGGATTAGAACACCTGTCATTATTTTATTGCAGTCTGTGCACCTGTTAGGGAGATTTACTCTATTTGTGCTGTTTACCATTATCATCGAAAGTGAAAGTAAAGAAAAACCCCAAATTTTTGGTTGTCCCCAGAAAAGTAATAGATGCGAAATCAGTGGGGGTCCCCAAGGAATTCCCTTAATTTTTGGGGATTATCTCTCACTTCCTGTTTTGACTATGAAACAGGAAGTGAAGGTAGATCTCTTCAATGGGACACAGATGGCAAAAAAAATAAACTGACAGGGGTTAAAAAGCTCCCTTACTGAAAAATAAAGTTTGGCTATGGTTCTGCTTTTAAGATTTAAAACAAAAGTCCTGACAAAGGGCTTATAACTGTATACTCCCATACCACTAAGTCAAAGATAGTAAATTAAGTCTTTAATTTAGAGTTCAAATGATGACAAACTCAATGTGTTTTGCAACAGCAAGTTGTTTCATTAGAAGTAAAGTATAGAAACATGAAAAAGTCTGCAACAGATACAAACAATATAAGCGGTCATAGTATTCAATAATAATTTCCATAAATGTAACAAGGAGAACTGGATTAATCAGCAAATATCCAAAATCAGGTTTTCCTGTGAGCCTTTATTGAGTAGAAACTGTAAAACAAAAACGGTGCAAACACTATGAACTGTTGTGTATGACGGGGATGACATCTCAATAACTCTGCTACATCATGTGCATGTACCTGCAATATATTCACAGGATATAATGTTCCACATACTTCCTTCCTCCTTTAAGGGCATCCATATGTTGACATGCATGTGAGGAAAAAGTACACAAAAATATAATTAAAATTCAAACTGCAATTGAAAATTACTGTATGCCAAGTGGGTGGCATGAAAGTCCCTGTTTAGATTTTTCATAGTCACATGAAATCAGGTCAAGGATGGCTGCTCAGCATTTTCCAACACAATGGATACCCAACTTAAGAAATACACCGAGCCATTCAGAGCTTTTACTCCAGTTTTGGATATAAAGGGCAGGGATAGAGCATGCAAATGCTCTCTTTGTCTTTATTTAGGACATTCGCTTTCTGTTGTCTCTAGGTAAATAAGCATGCAAAAATCTAATATTTTATTGATGTCATCAGAATGTGAATAAAAGAGAAAACTTCCACTTAAGAGAGACCTACACTGATGACAACTGTCAAAAGTGGGATTTCCCTTACTTTGGGAAGATGTCTTCTCCCTTCCTGTGTTTCAATGGCAGAACGTAAGGGAAAAAATCCCCAGTGGGGCAGAGACAATGATTTAAACCTGTCAATACAAAACAAGACAAGAAATTCTACTTTAACTATTTTGAACTAGCATATAGTGGGAGCATGGTAAGGGTGACCCTTATACAGTAAACAGTAGGTGCTGATACAAAAGGGTTTCCCACTTTGTTAAAATTAGTAAATCTCTTCAATAAAAATAAAGAAACTGACATCATATAGAACCAGCCACGTTTTTTTTTTTGTTCCCACAAGTATTTTGTTATTTGCTTCCTCTGTATTTTGTATTTTTCAGGTATATTTCTACCAATACCTCACCCCAATATCACTGCATTAAATCCTTGTCATGATAGCAATACATGTCATAAAAATAGGTTGAGCTGGGCACCTTTGGCAGATTAGCCTCTGTCTCCTATTTTTAGTAGGTTTAGTTCTGTATGGTAGATTCTCCGATGATCTTCTGGATATTAGTAGAGAATTTCACAAGATGGAGAACATTACTACAACAGGTTTTAACTAAATATGCTTATTCTTTTTAATTATATTGAAGATTTTGGAATACAAGGATGATTAAAAATATTTTTTCACCTATATGCTAGTAATTCTAGTAATTCATTGATTGATCCATAAACACAGACTTTAGTAAAAACAGGTAACAGATATATTGTATATGCATAGTTCATAGTATTGTAGCCTCAGTGCTTAAAATGTGTACAGATGTCAGTTTTGGCAGTAGATTATGTGCACGTCTGTCTTAGACCTTGTGCTAAGACTGTAATATTGTCCAGAATACTCTACAGAAGAGAAGGGTGCTTTTTGAATATAGTGTTTTAAAACTTGTAAATTGCACAGATTGTAATGTGTATTAATGAGCTTTAGTTCTAATCAGGTCACTATCACTTCTTCTCACATTAACTGGCTGCTTTTTTGTTATGTACTCTGTGCTACTCTGGTTTACCTAATGGTAAAATGGATTGCTGCTTTTAACAGCCAACAGTTAAGCCTGGTCAACACATGCTTCCAGAATAATAATGGGAGAGGTCTATCAGTGAGGACAAGAAATTAAGAGAATAGTTGGTTAGTAGTGATAAATACAAGGCTTGGGACTTTATCACCTGCACTAGTCCTTGAAGTCATTTGTAGTCTTTTTTTATATAATGTAACATTTTTACTGAATTTTGAAAAAAGTAGCTAATTATACAAATGATTGTAGGTGGCTGGTGCAGAATCAGGACAGGACTGCACTGGTGGGGTTGGCTGTAAGACCGGAAGACCAGCAGCAACTGTACTTCCAAGGATAGGTTAGGAGTGGTTTTATATGCTCGTCAGAGGAAGGAAAACAAATCAGGGTTTACTGCATAGCTAAGTGAAAAATATTGAAAAAGATCAAATAAAAAGATATTACAAACGTTGTGCTGGAGTTCAACTTTAAGCCTAGGTAAAAAAAATGTTAATAACTTATCATGGTAGGTTATAATTATGATTAAACCAAGGCTTCCATTGTGCAATGAATTATTTCAGGGGTTTTTTTTCACGTATTTGTAATTCATGATCTGGGCTATTTTATATCTTGGACCATTACTATATGAACAATATATACTGTATCTTATAATGCGTTGTGTGTTTGATAGACTAATAAGTGTCTGTATAATCTAAACTCCAGAAAAAAAAAGTTCTTAAGCTGCAAAAACATGTGTAAGGATTTCACAAATGCCTTTTCTAGACAGAACAATGGAACATGGTTAGCCAGGAAATGCCTGCCTAATGTCACAGACTATAAGTTGTCCTCAAACTCACTATATAATTGGAAATTAACCCACACTTATAATGGGTTCTTTGAATATAAAACATTTTAGTCGAGTGTTTCCATAACTTTACAAGGTCCTTCTAGTTTGAAAATATTCAAAAGTTATTCTTCATATGTGGACACTAATGGGATTTTCATAATGATTTGTTAGTGCTTAACATCATATAATTATTATTTTTCTATTACTTTTCAGGATATCGTAATGAAATATTATCTAAACTTGAGCTGTTTCCAGCAAAAGATCACATTGAAACCCGAGTGGGGAAAAATGTCACCATTATCTGCAGGTAAGGGAAGAAAGTCTGCTGTTGGGCTGTTGTAACAATAAAGTTATGAGTATCGTTGTATCAGTGTGGATTCAGGAGATACAGCAGTAATGCAACTATAGCTGGCTCCCTACTAGTGTTTAAGAGATTGTATTTTTGTTTGAATTTTACACGGTCACTTCCATGGTTGGCAAATTATGGCCAAAAGAATTTATTCAGGAAAGATTGATAGTCAGACCTTTCACTGGGGACGGAAAATGCTGTGCCATTCTTTGGTATTCCATCACTCTTTTACTGTTTCAGTTTATAAGTATTTGTAGGATTCAGTTATAAAAGTCTTCGGAGATAATTTAGATAAAAAACCCAATGCTAGTTTTTTGGCAGTGACTCAGAAAGCACTAAACCAGAGGCTTTTCTTAAATGGCTTGCTGGTATAAGTAGGTCCTACATTTTCCTTTTTATGTAAATCAGATCCAGGTATTTACATGGGTAGCAAATTCTCCTCAAACTGTCCAGTTCTGGTCACCAGTCCTCAGGAAGGATATGCTGGAACTGGACAGAGTCCAGAGAAGGGCAACAAAACCAATAAGGGGACTGGAGAACCTTGGTCATGAGGAACAGTTACAAACATTAAACTTTTTCTCCCTAGAGAAGAGATACTAGAAAGGTGATATGTTAGCGATATACAAATATCTTAATGGTTATTACAACATTGGGAGGAAACTACTCAGTCTCATGTCACTCAAGAAGACACGTGGCCACTCAATAAAGTTGGACAAGAGGCAGTTTAACCTCAAACTGCGTATGGGATTCTTTACTGTCAGAGCAGTAAGGATGTGGAACTCCTTCCATGATCAGTGCTTTCAACAGGAAGTGTCACTATTTTAAACTTTTAGATGGGCATCTTACATCTTATTGAACTCAATATCTAGGGATATTGGAAGTGGCAGAGAGATAAATACACACACACACACACATTGAAGTAGATGGATTGGAGTCTTTATTCAACCTTTCCAACCATGAAACAGGTCATTGGTTGTAGCTGGCAATGAAAATGAATTGTATCAGCTATAATACTATATTAGTATGGTGGTTCAGGGAAATATCTGTCTGAATAATGGTTAGAAATCAAGATGTGTAACACTGCATGCAGCCGGTCAGAATTTGGGAGCATTGGATTTCTGTCAGGTAATTATGAGGGAGGCATACCACAGTGTGTTGTCAGCCACAGCGGACAGATGTATAAACTCTCCAGCGCCTCAAGGGAACCAATGCCAGGGTTCAGAAGCATGAATGGCCTATGGATAACGTTCCAGAGATACAGCCCTCCTCAGATGGGGAAATCAACAAACTAGAAGAAAGCATACAGGTGGCGCAAACACCTAGTGCATTATCCAAGGTTTAGTAAAAGGCCAAAAAATATACTCTCAAACATAGCATGTGTGTAAAACCTAAAAACCTAAAAGGCCATGGAGATGGCCACAAGGATGGTAGAGTATCCGAGTGATGGTGCGGTCGGCCTGCTGACACGTTTTGGGGATGAATCCCCTTCCTCAGGACTATGGCCAACCTGAATGCAGGTCTTGCTTTAAACATAAAAAGAGGCAAAATCTTGGTGGACACTGTGATACCATCAAAATTTTCAATCTTCCCCAACTAACATTCAGGGAGGTTGAACTATCTCTCTAAAGAAAAGGCCTAAATTTTACCCCCCCAACTTGTTTGAAATATTCATTGATCTTAAAAAATTAAAGAGATATTCTATGAAGGACATTTCCAACAATACAGACCAGGATACCACTGATGAAGTCTCTGAGGCATCAGATGTTGGTGATATTACTACTTTGCAAACATTGGAAGATCTCTGGGAGGAGGGATTTTGTGATCCCGAAAATCCCATTCCGATACCTCCTGAACAGACTCATGCATATCTCAGCATGGCTGACATCACACATACCCATTTCAAACCAAAATCGATTTTTTTTTTATCCCCACTGGGCTAAGGGCAACTTCATCTCCTCATTTTATGAAGTTGTGTATTCAGAACTCAGTAAGCTATGCATCACCACCAAACAGGATCACACATCAGAAATGTCTCGACTAGAGAAAACAACATTGGAAAGCCTCAAGAACAATTCAGAAATTGTTATCAAGCAAGCAGATAAAAGGGGAGGCCTAGTTATACAAAGCAGACAAGATTATCTCACAGAAGCCATGAGACTTCTAGGAGACTGCTAAACTTATGAGAAATTTTGGACGACCCTATCAGGCCCTATAAATCCACACTCATATCTTTACTAGACCAAGCACTCAGGGAAGGGGTGTTGAACAAACAGGAATTGCAATTTTTTGTATAGACCATTCCCCCTCACCCCACACTTCTATCACATTCCAAAAATACACAAATATCCCATCCATCCACCTGGAAGACCCATCATATCTGGGATCGACAGCCTCCCCAGTAATGTGGCAAATTACATTGATCATTTCTTACAGCAATATGTAACATCACTCCCTTCATATGTATGTGACTCGGTACATTTGCTAGACGTTTTATCACATTACCATTGGCAACCGGGCTACACGTGGGTTTCATTGGATGTGGCCTCTTTATACACCTCCATAGTACATACAGGCTATCAGCAGTCCAACATTTTCTGTCTTTGGATAACATGCTACATTCCTTGCCGGGAAATTTTATGATTCAATGCATTGAATATTGCCTTACCCAAAATTACTTTGTGTTCCAAGACACCTTTTTCAGACAAATTAAGGGTACAGCCATGGGAGCTAGGTTCGCCCCTAGCTATGCAAACTGATTCATGGGCTATTGGGAGAAATTCCACATTTGGAGTAACAACCACTTTGAAGCGAACCTAGTTCTCTTTGCAAGGTACATCGATTATATCCTGATCATTTGGAACGGCACAGATAATGAGTTAGATCAGTTCCTCTCCCACTGCCAGAACAATCCCTTTAATACTGAATTTACACAAGCTGTAGATGACAACACACTTTTGTTTCTGGATCTAGAGCTTATGTTTGACAATGATTTTAACATTATTTCCAAGACACATTTTAAACCCTCGGCTGGAAATTCATACTTGCATGCCAACAGCCATCACCATCTGAGATGGATTAAAAATGTACCTTTGGGGCAATTCTGTCGGCTCAAGAGAATCTGCACATGTCTTGAGGATTATGATGCACAGAGCACTATCCTCAGGAAGAAGTTCATAGAGAAAGGATATGCTGCAGTGACCGTTGAACAAGCATATGCTAAATATAGGGCCCAATATTCTACTGGCACTCATGTGATAGCCACCTGTGAAGCACCCCCAGAGAAAGAACAACAGGCAAAACGCATTGCTTCTTTGCACTCGATATAACCCCAAGGCTTTCCACATTAAAAACGTCCTTAAAAAGTATTGGGGTATTCTACACCAAAACCCCTTTCTAACCAATATCATCTCAGAAAATCCGGAGGTAATTTTTAGGAAACCCAAAGATTATAGGAGCTTCATAGCAACAAATATGGTCAAAAGTGTCCAGACAATTTTGGTGTCCTCTTGGAGTACACTATTCGATCAAAAAGGCAGTTACAGATGTGGAACAAGCAACTGTGGATGTTGCCAATTCATGTGGCATAAGAAAAAAGAAGTAATGGGCAAAGATGGTATTTCCTACAAGGATTAAACAATATATCAATTGTAGCTTACAATACTTGGTATATTATCGCATTTGCCCTTGCAGCCTTTTATATGTGGCCTGCACCTTGCATATTAGGTTTGGAGAACATAAAAGAAATATCAAACATGGTTGTGAGTGGCATTCAATTCCCAGTCATTTTAAAGAAAAAGGGTTTTGGGGCTAGAAAGCAATCCCAGAGACACTGACACTGGTAGACGATTTCATCATTTATGTCAGAGAGAGACCTTTTGGATTCACTGTCTAGAGACTTTGTCACCCAGAGGACTCAATGAAGGGCTAGACATAAATGCACTGAACCATTGATTGCATTGGTGGATGATTTTGCAGATCATGCCAGAGAAGGCATAATGTAGGGCTAAATGTAAATGTTAATGTTCTGATCCCCCGATAATACATCAGTTCTTCCATAAATTGGTGGTTTCCACCCATCATCTTCAACCTGTTTATTTCTACCCTGATATGCATCCATTACTGTCATGAATTTCACACACTCATTTTTACATGTATAATAATCATTTTTCATTTTTAATATTTGTCTTTATAAGATATTTATCATAATTTTTCATAATAGCAAAGAATGCTTCCATTTTTCCTTTCCCTTTTTAATTATTTATTTTTTTACCCTGTTAGTTTATCATTCATTTATTTATTTACTTCTTTACTTATTTTATTTATACATTTCATAATGTATTCATTTATTTTACACTTATTCATTCAGTGTTTCACTATCTTTGTATATGGACACTTTTCACAATTTCTTTCCACTTTTGCAATTTTGTGCCCCAATGTGCTGGATTCACACCAGATGTGGTGCTGCAGCAACACATCCGCGGTCTCCTCTGGGAGGTGTGCGGTCCCCCTGGTGTTTTCCAGCAGCTTGCCTTGCAAGTAATGGATATGATGTCATTTATGACGCACTTCCGGTTGGTTACTTCCGGCCTTTGGAACACAAAACCACGCTGGCATGCTTTCCGGCGACCATTTTAGTTTCATTTTAGTTTCACTTATGTCATTCACCAGTCATTCCCATAGATTAACACACACCAACATTATTTTCTATGGCATTCTTAAACCTTCAAAGAAGCAAGATGTAGGTTCCATTTAGAGGTACTGTGACATTATATTGTTGTTTTTAACATCACTTACACCTCCCCAATTCACATCTAAGTTGTTTTTATTTGGTTGCCCAGTACATGGATCTTCATATTTTTACTAAAATAATGCACTATGATGTCTATAATGTTTTTAACACTGTATTTATTATATTAATTTGTACCATTCATGTGGTTATTTCTGTACATACAGATTTAACAATTCCCATGTTCCACTTCTCATTTTTTTTGCTCGAGGGGAGGGGCTTTGCTATAGGCGGCATTGGCCACAAATATTTAAAACAAGACATACAGTTTCAAGAAAAAGTATGTGAACCCCTTGGGATTACGTGGAGTTTTGCATGAATTGGGCATAAAATGTGCTCTGAACGTCATCTAAGTCACAACAATAGAAGAACACAGTCTGCTGAACATAATACTACACAAACATTAGATGTTGCCATGGTTTAATTGCACATAACATGTAAACATTCACAGTGCAGGGAGGAAAAAGTATGTGAACCTTTGGACTTAATAACTGGTTGACCCTCCTTTGGCAGCAATAACCTCAACCAAAACGTTTCCTGTAGTTGCAGATCAGACCTGCACAATGATCTGGAGTAATTTTGGACCACTCCTCTTCACAAAACTGTTTCAGTGTAGCAATATTCTTGGGATATCTGGTGTGAATCGCTCTCTTAAGGTCATGCCACAGCATTTCAATCGGGTTGAGGTCAGGACTCTGACTGGGCCACTCCAGAAGGCGTATTATGTGCTGTTGCAGCCATTGTTTTGTTAAATTACTTGTATGCTTTGGGTCATTGTCCTGTTGCATCACCCATCCTCTGCGGAGCTTCAGTTGGCAGACAGATGGTCGTACGTTTTCCTGCAAAATGTCTTGATAAATTCTGGAATTCATTTTCCCATCAATGACAACAATCCGTCCAGGTCCTGAGGCATCATAGCAGCCCCAAACCATGATGCTCCCTCCGCCATGTTTTACAGTGGGGATGAGGTTTTGATGTTGGTGTGCTGTGCCTTTTTTTTCTCCACACATAGTGTTGTGTGTTCTTCCCAAACAACTCAATCTTGGTTTCATCTGTCCACAGTATATTTTGCCAATAGTGCTGTGGAACTTCCAGGTGCTCTTTTGCAAACTTCAAACGAGCTGCAATATTCTTTTTGGACAGCAATGGCTTCCTCCGTGGTGTCCTCCAATGTACTCAATTCTTGTTTAATGTTTTCCTTATTGTAGATGTGTCAACAAAAATGTTAGCATGTGCCAGAGATTTCTGTAGGTCTTTAGCTGACACTCTGGGATTCTTCTTTACCTCATGCAGCATTCTGCGCTGTGCTCTTGCAGTCATTTTTACAGGACGACCACGCCTAGGAGAGTAGCAACAGTGCTAAACTTTCTCCATTTGTAGACAGTCTGTCTTACCGTGGACACATGAACATCAAGGCTCTTGGAGATACTTTTGTAACCCTTTCCAGCTTCATGCAAGTCAACAATTCTTGATCGTAGGTCTTCTGAGAGCTCTTTTCTGCGAGGCATGGTTCACATTATACAGTGCTTCTTGAAACCAGTAAACCCAAAACAGGTGTGTGTTTTTTAAGGGCAGGACAGCTGTCAGCAACACATCCAATATCATCACACTGATTGGAGTCAAGGTTGGCTCACTCCTGGCTCCAATTAGCTCTGGGAGAAGTCATTAAGCTAGGGCCTCACATACTTTTTCCTCCCTGCACTGTGAATGTTTACCTGTTATGTGCAATTAAACCATGGCAACATCTAATGTTTGTGTAGTATTATGTTCAGCAGACTGTGTTCTTCTATTGTTGTGACTTAGATGACGTTCAGAGCACATTTTATGCCCAATTCATGCAAAACTCCACGTAATCCCAACGGGTTCACATATTTTTTCTTGCAACTGTACATTCAGGCTGGCCATAGTTCTGAGGAAAGGGATTCATCCCCAAAACGAGTCAGCAGGCCGACAGCACCATCAGTTGGATACTCTATCATCCTTGTGGCAATCTCCATGGCCTTTTAGGCTTTACACACATGCTATGTTTATGAGTATATTTCTTGTTGCCAGCCACAGTCCTCCATGTCTCTGGACTAAGTATTTTGTCAGCTTCCTGTACTCCTGTATCTCTCTCTTTTTTTTTGCCTTTTTTATTTCTGTGAATCTAACACTGTATAGCGTTCTTTCTTTCTTTTTCTTTCTTTTTCTTTCTTTCTTTCTTTCTTTCTTTCTTTCTTTCTTTCTTTCTTTCTTTCTTTCTTTTCCTTTCTTCCTTTCTTCCTTCCTTCCTTCCTTTCTTTCCCTCCTTCTTTCTTTCTTTCCCTCATCCTCTTTTTCTTTCCATCCTTCTTTTTTTATTTCTCTCCTTCCTTCTTTCCCTTCTTCCTATTTTCCCTCCTTCCTTCTTTCCCTCCTTCCTTCTTCCCTCCTTCCTTTTTTCCCCCCTTCCTTCCTTCCTTCCTTCCTTCTTCCTTCCTCCCTTCTTTCCCTCCTTTCCTCTTTCCCTCTTTCCTTCTTTCCCTCTTTCTCTCCTACAAAAAATATTATAAAATAACAATAAAATATAAAATTGTTTAAAATTTTTTTATAAAAATAAAAACCTACTGACACTAGTGGCAGAACTACCAGGGTTGCAAAGGTCACTCTTGTGAACAGGCCCTGGTGTTCTGCCACCGGGCTTCGAGGACAGGGTCCAGGCTAAGTCCAAAATGCCCGGACCTATTTTTTTGTGCCAGTCCAGGTCTGCTAACGTTTATGGCAGTATGCTCCGAGGGACAAATGCCTAGCGCACAAGCAGTCAGACCAAGGAAGGCATTCAGTTGTTGAGAGATATTTATTTTATTTATGAAAGTAATAAAGGGTGCAGGTGCACTGCAGAAGTGTTCTTCTCCACCTGCTTCTGTTAAATCTTTTTATATAGGATACAAGGCTTAATGCTAGACAATGCATGCTAAAAATAGTATGAAAAAGATAGAATTAATAAATCTTTTGTGAGACCAGTAAACTTCACACTGCCCATAAGGGTCATCCGTCTGTCTATAGCAAAAGGAAGACGCCCAGAGCTTACGTGGGAATGTGTGATTACAAGTGGGTGTCACAGACTTACACAAGCCGTGTACACATCACTCAGTGGCTGGAAGTGCTCTCAAGATGATCACCTCCGCAGCAGCATCGTTCTCAGGAAGGCGGCACGCAGACAGTCTCAGCATGAAGCCAAAAACCTTTTTTTTTTTCTGGGAAGGAACAGGGAGGGGACGTGGATGTAGCAAAGACCTCAGTGACTTTGAAATGCAATTCATTTATTTTCAAGTCAGTGGATTTCCTTCAGATTAGGTGATTCAGTTCATGCATCTACAGTTATCAGATGCTGCTGCTTAAACATTCCAGGATAAGTCATGGGCTAATGTCTTTGTAATGTAGGTACAAAACTTCTAACACTTCCCATAACCAGAAAAGAACATTTTGTGTAAACAGGGAAAGTATCACTTCAATTAAAATAATAATGCATTTAGAAACATTCTCACACCTTGCAAACAATGGAATTCAATATAAATAGGAGTTTATTGTCAGAAAGATCTGTACAGTGGCTTATAATTTTGAATGCTGAATCCAGCCAAAAGTGAAATTTCAGTTTGGGTCCTCCACTAGTTTTTTCCAGTATGGTCCTGTTGTTCAATAATCATATTAAATCCTTAACCATTGTTGTTTTCTGCAGTGTTTTCATGTACTATTGCAGTGCTTTCAATGCCTGCTAGCAATTGTGTAGTATTTGCTACATACAAGGCATGTCTCTGATGATAATGTCAAAGTTGTAAACTCTCAACTGATTCTTAAAATCCTTTAACGGCTGATGTCATAGCTAGTCATGTGTGGAGCACAACGGCTACTACAGATCTAAATAGAAGCTAAGATGGTACCGCCCTCAGCAGATAGGAGGATAGAAAGGTTTAGTTCCACTATTAATGCCTTCACCACCTCCAAAATGTATATATTTAAAAATAATAAAACTGCTTGAGAGGCCACTTCAGTATTCCTTTAGTACCTTCACAACTTCATGAGTCAGGGCCAGTGTCTCTTGGTTGCTTCAGCAGCAAGAGCACCCAGACTTTATCCCCTATCACAGCTATTATGAAGCCATGCGAGTCTCATTCCTCTTGCTTCATCTCTATAGTGTAAAATGAATGAGAAATTGAAAGGCAAGAACTCCTAATATTGTCCAAACAAAGGTGAAGATATTAATGGTAAAATTACCAAGAAATTACCAAAAAAAAAAAAAACTAGCAGGTGGATCAACCTATGGACTTCCACCCAAAACTAAAATGAAAGCTAGTAAAGGCACTGATAACGCAAACTCACATTCTTAGTAAATGCTACTGAAAATTTTAGTACACAAAAATGTGAAAGCAAATTTGGTTGTTATTGATGCTAATTCACATAAAGCAGAGTGTGAAATGCGTAAAAAATGGAAATCATGTGCTGTATTATTGAAACCTCCCCCCCCCCCCCCAAGTTTCATGAATCCTAAATGCCATGGATTTTTAGTTTAATTTTGCAAACTTTCATGAATCAAATCTATATATATCTATATATATATATATATATATATATATATATGCACTGCTCGTTTGAGCATATACAATATGTTATGGAGATAGTGGTGGCAAAGCTTCAAATTACACAGTAAAGATTTATACTGCAGATATTTTGAGATCAAAACATATATATAATATATAATATTAGGCATGCTATTGTTTATGCAACATAATTTTTTATTGCAGAGGCACGGGCCCTGTGACGTGGCACTGGGAACACTTGCCATTTTCAAACCACAGCAGGATGGACGTAGAAGAGCATCGATGTAAGAAGCAAAGTGAAGCTCATCTTACATGCAGCTACTTAAAACTCACCAAAGCCGAAGTAAAAGACACAGGTTACATCACTTGCCTTTATAAACACCAAACCAAGAGTAGTCTGCGACTTCAAGCTAGAATTTACTTGTATGTTAAAGGTAAAATAACATTTTGTTTTCTCATTATTGAATAGCCATTGAAAATTACTCATCCTTGATACCAATTCTCATACACCTGTGTAAGATCTTTTGACAGTCATTATGTAGTATACCAAGTATAAGACTACCAGTTCCACTGTATACAGCAAGACAGTTGAACTTGATTCTTCATATTCTGCTGCCCTGCAGAACTGTTGTCTGAATTGCTTGTTGTAGGTTGTTCTGTACAGGTGTTGACAGCTCTGGAAGTCATTAGACAATGCTGTCAACAATGTTAAAAAGTGCTGCAGGATTTCTTCCTTTTCTGATCAGAGTCCTAAGGGAGAAACATCCCTTCAATTCCCTGATTAAGATTTCCTGCAGTAACTACTGTTTCAGTAATCTTATTGATAAATCAGATGGGACAGGATCTGTCAACAGGTACTTATCTCAATTTGATCTGTGATCTCTTGCTAGTATAGGATAACAGGAAATATCCTAGTCAACCACAAGGCTGACACATGGGGATTTCCACTCCATAAATATCTGAACTTTACTTTGATTGGAAGACAAAGCCTATAACAAGTTTTACTAGGACCGCTGCTTAGAACCTTTTTTGAGTTTATATTGCATCAGTTGCTGTTTGACAGCTTTGTCCGGTTGTAAAGAGCCATTGGTATATTTTTAAATGAAACATAAGCACTTTTCATTGAATTCAAAGAGTTAGTAATGTAGCTGTGCTGCGTGCTGACAACTACATTTTGTATTCAGATAAGTATTAGATACAGCATTCCAGTAAGTGAATTATTGGAGTGGAGTTAAAGAGGGTGCAGCCACATATCAGTCTGATCATGGATATAAGTACGTATATTCATGCAGTAAAGTGAACAGAGATCTCAATAGCTTCCAGTAACCCCAGTTTATCCCAAAGGCTTACAAGTCTAGGGAACTTTGTATTATGTAAGTGGATTAGACTTAAGATGGTCACACACACATTGGTCACATTGTAAAATCTTCCTGTTTGTATATATGGGTTGACATGACAAGAAAAATGGCACAGTCACTTTTTTAGGGCCTATAGCACATAGCATTGCTTAATCCTAGTTTGCAAACATAAACAAGCATCAACATCAGCAAGCATTTGCAAAGCATTTTCCAATATTTAAATAACTTTTTGTTATGCCCTTCAGTTGATTGTACAGTAAAGATGTTAATGCTGACAATAGCTTTAAACAGGCTTTTACCAGGCTTCAATGGGTTTTAGCAAGCTTTGACATTGCCTAAAACTTTCTGAAGCCAGTTGAAGCTTTGATTGCCTCCACCACCAAGATTCCAATTAGGTGTTGCATTCAACACACCAGAACCAGAGCTGAAGTATATATAAAAAATACCTTTCTATAACTTTTGAACAGAGTTGGGACAATCAGCAGGCAATAACAGGCTATCTAGACTAAATACCCAGTAAACAATACATGACCGATCAAAAATGTTAAAGGCTGGATGAGGCAGGTCTACTGACGTGTCTGAATATAATCCAAGTGCAGGATTCTAAAAACAGCTACAAGCATCCCTGGACATGTACTTTACTCAATCCTATGTAATGCATCTTGCCTTCTGCTTTTGTCAAATAATACTTTCAGTGGAAATTAAAAGTCAAAGCTAAAAAAAAATTGCATATATTAATATAATTACATAAAGCAATAGCAATAAATAATATTACTTGAAAAGGGGTTATTTTTCTGTCAGACCAAAAAGATAGTAGTGAAAATACAAGCTGCCTCTTGACACCCAAAGATCAGAGAAAACAGATTTGCAAATGGGCTGGCTATGTCAGTTTGCTCAATCGCATCTTCAAAGAGCATATAAAGCTGGGCCCCCATATCTACACTGTGCAGACCTTGCTCTTACACAATGGTTATGCTGAAAGACTCATAGCAAGGACCAGAGCTAAGAAAACAGCAGAGGGGGTAACATCAACATAATGATGAGCTCTTGAGTTCTGTTTATTTCCTTCCATGGTTTCCTTCCAAGAACTCTGCACAATAGAAGGCACGTATGATTTATATAACATTGGCTACTATAGGTTAACTCGTCAACAAAATAGTAAATGATTTTTACTTACACATTTTTATGCAGCAGTTGTTTTTACGGAATGTTTTGGACCTCCAAGTGTGAAACAATCTTATATTAAAGTACATGTTCAGTACAATTAAATGTATATTTTTGTATTACTATTTTATATTACTTTTGCATATATTTCTGTAACTGTAATTAAATGGGAATTTGTTACTATGTTATGGATACCTGCATTGCAATAAAAGTCAGTAAGTTGTGTGGAAGGGTTTTGAACCTTGTCATATTTTTATTTCTGTTTGTGCTGGAGAGATTCACCCATTTTATTAGGTATGGTGAATATGATCAGCAGGACAGACAGCAAAATCTAATATTTTCTGGTTGTCACCAGAACAGAGGTTGAGAGGAAGCCTTCCAATGGGAATACCTGTGCTGGTGACAACTAAGAAAAGATTTCTTCTTTTAGTTTGAGAGATTTCATTTAATGTCCTGTTGTGTCTTAAGAACAGGAAGTGAAACAAATGGGATACAGACAGCAAAAATAAAGCAAAAAAAAATTACAGGGGTTTTAACCAATCCCCACTCTGTCCAAAATAAAGAAAAACGTTTTAGCTTTAAGTATACTTTTTTACATTGTTCTGTTTAAAAAGCATCCTAACTAGTGATTTCACACACCCTGTTCAGATTATACACAACCCTTTCTGGAGATGAATACAGCTACCCCAGGAGCTGCAATCATGGATGTTAAAGCGAATGAACTAGTTGTCCCTTGTCGCGTTAGTGCACCGGAATTCAAGGTCACCTTACAGTATGTAAGTAAAGCATGTCTTACAATGGTTGTGCTGGGAATTTTTAAGTCCCAGGAAGGAATTCTTGAAAGCCTATACAATACAGTATTTATTTCATGAGCAAGAACAAGGTTGGTAATAAGGATATTTTACAGGCCAAGTATGTAATTGTTGTTATCCTATAATAAGCTATATACTTTAAGCAAAGCTTACACAGTTATCTTCATATTTGATCTTGAATCAGTTCCTTTATTTAAACAATGTTTTTTCTGTCCCCACCTTCACATTTTTTCAGTTTCAGGAAACTGAACTATATTTCCTTTATTACACAGTTTCACCTCTGTTTTTGGAAACAATAACCTAATGACCTAACGTACAGTATGTACACAATACACGCACGACATATTTATCCCATTGCTGCTGCACTGAAGAAAAAAAATATTAAAGTGTAACTTTATCAACAAAGCCACATCAATATTGTCTTTGTAGTCACCTAGCCTTGTTTCGAAAATGATAGGTAGTTACAGTCTTAAAAGAAAAGGTGCATTTTAAAAGTACATTATGAACTTGCTGTACAGCAATTATATATACCAAATCACTTTTTTAAACAAAACCCTTTAATAGTATACAGAAATATAAATGCTTCCATATGATTGTTATCCCTGGATTGTAATCATTATCCAAGGCCACTCTAAATTAGAAAGGGGTTGGTAATAAGTGTGCCAAAAGTCATGGACTCCCAAGGTTGTCCTTATTCATACCCAGGTCATTTTATAAATCAAATTGCATTTTTAATGGAAAATAAATATCATAAATAAAATACCATTATCAAAGCAGAGAATTATGTTTACATTCTGTAACAGAATAACTATTTTTACAAGTACATCATTTGATTTGTGCTAATTAAACTTGTTTTTGTCAAGTACAAAATATCTCATATACACTGCATGGCCAAACATTTGTGGACACCTGACTGTCACAACGGTGATGTATCCTCCACAAAATTTTGCAGTATATCTGTCTGCAATTGGTGCCTGTTCAGCCAGAAAAAGGATTTTTGGAGGTCATATTCTGAGGTTCTTTGAGAAGATTTGGCTCATAATTGTCATACCAGTTAGTCGTGAAGGTGTTAATAGGGTTGAGATCGGAGCTCTGTACCCAAGGGCCACTTGAGTTCTTCAAACTATGTCTTTCTGGACTTGGCTTTGTGCAGTGGGACACAGTCATGCAGGAACAAACTGTTGCCGCTAAGTTGGAAATGCACAGTTGCATACCAGTTTTTAGCCCAATTTTTGTTTCTTGTATGCTGTGGCAACTGCATAGGCTGGTTCATTCTCATATACAGTAATCCTTCTACCATTAATAAACAGTAATATAGTAAGTTGGGTCAGTATTTTTGCATACGTTTACAAGGTTTTTTTTTTATTTTTGTATTTGTTATTATTTATAAAAAATCTTTATTTTGCAAATAGTAATTCAATACTAGGTTCAACTATGACACTGATTTTGCAGAGTATTCTGCATTTCTAAAAGAGAAAGCATAGCAGTGACTTTTGCAGTGACCATCTTTCTTTTATAAAAACTCTGTGCAGAGCTGCAAGGAGCAGCAAGGCATTTTGTCTGACTCTGTATGTAAAATATTTTAGCTATTAATTTTTGTAAAAAAATAGCCTTTTTTCAGCAGTGGTTAAAGTTAGTCTGGTGAGCATATGAAAAACAAGGTGGTAACTTGGAACAGCACTTTAGTTTTTGTCTGTAACATAATCAATTATATACAATATATACAGTTAGGTCCATAAATATTGGGACATCGACACAATTCTAACATTTTTGGCTCTATACACCACCACAATGGATTTGAAATGAAACAGACACGATGTGCTTTAACTGCAGACTGTCAGCTTTCATTTGAGTGTATTTACATCCAAATCAGGTGAACGGTGTAGGAATTACAACAGTTTGCATATGTGCCTCCCACTTGTTAAGGGACCAAAAGTAATGGGACAATTGGCTTCTCAGCTGTTCCATGGCCAAGTGTGTGTTATTCCCTCATTATCCCAATTACAATGAGCAGATAAAAGGTCCAGAGTTCATTTCAAGTGTGCTATTTGCATTTGGAATCTGTTGCTGTCAACTCTCAAGATGAGATCCAAAGAGCTGTCACTATCAGTGAAGCAAGCCATCATTAGGCTGAAAAAACAAAACAAACCCGTCAGAGAGATAGCAAAAATATTAGGCGTGGCCAAAACAACCGTTTGGAACATTCTTAAAAAGAAGGAACGCACCGGTGAGCTCAGCAACACCAAAAGACCCGGAAGACCACGGAAAACAACTGTGGTGGATGACCGAAGAATTCTTTCCCTGGTGAAGAAAACACCCTTCACAACAGTTGGCCAGATCAAGAACACTCTCCAGGAGGTAGGTGTATGTGTGTCAAAGTCAACGATCAAGAGAAGACTTCACCAGAGTGAATACAGAGGGTTCACCACAAGATGTAAACCATTGGTGAGCCTCAAAAACAGGAAGGCCAGATTAGAGTTTGACAAACGACATCTAAAAAAAAAAGCCCTCACAGTTCTGGAACAACATCCTATGGACAGATGAGACCAAGGTCAACTTGTACCAGAGTGATGGGAATAGAAGAGTATGGAGAAGGAAAGGAACTGCTCATAATACTAAGCATACCACCTCTTCAGTGAAGCATGGTGGTGGTAGTGTCATGGCGTGGGCATGTATGGCTGCCAATGGAACTGGTTCTCTTGTATTTATTGATGATGTGACTGCTGACAAAAGCAGCAGGATGAATTCTGAAGTGTTTCGGGCAATATTATCTGCTCATATTAAGCCAAATGCTTCAGAACTCATTGGACGCCGCTTCACAGTGCAGATGGACAATGACCCAAAGTATACTGCAAAAGCATCCAAAGAGTTTTTTAAGGGAAAGAAGTGGAATGTTATGCAATGGCCAAGTCAATCACCTGACCTGAATCCGACTGAGCATGCATTTCACTTGCTGAAGACAAAACTGAAGGGAAAATGCCCCAAGAACAAGCAGGAACTGAAGACAGTTGCAGTAGAGGCCTGGCAGAGCATCACAAGGGATGAAACCCAGTGTCTGGTGATGTCTATGCGTTCCAGACTTCAGGCTGTAATTGACTGCAAAGGATTTGCAACCAAGTATTAAAAAGTGAAAGTTTGATTTATGATTATTATTCTGTCCCATTACTTTTGGTCCCTTAACAAGTGGGAGGCACATATGCAAACTGTTGTAATTCCTACACCGTTCACCTGATTCGGATGTAAATACCCTCAAATTAAAGCTGACAATCTGCAGTTAAAGCACAACTTGTTTGTTACATTTCAAATCCATTGTGGTGGTGTATAGAGCCAAAAATGTTAGAATTGTGTCGATGTCCCAATATTTATGGACCTGATATGTATATATATATATATAGTGCATTTCTATTCAAAACTTTTTTTTTTTTTAGCTTTTGATAGAATGGGGAAAGGTTAGAGGCCCTGTCAGTATTTACTGCTACCAGACAGGAAGTGAGGGAAAATTTGCAACTGGGAAATAGTGAACAATAGAAAGCTAAGAAGGGTTCTGTCATTCCCCTAATAAATTTACAAAACATTTTTACTTTTGTCTATGTTGCTGTTTGAGAGATTCCCCCTCACTTCTTGTTCTGGGGACAATTTTCACACCAGACATAAAGTTAAGCAATCTCTCCAACAAGCCTCCAATGGCAATGAAGCCTGACAGGAGTTCTAATACTTCCCCACTCTACGTAAAACTAAACAAAAAAGCTAGAGGTACACTTAAAACCTGTTGCAGAGTTATGGAGTATATGTTTGTAAAATACACTAATATTATGATAACTGACATATAACCTTTCCCCAGATGTCTGATCTTGCATCTTGTAGTGATTCTGTTTCATCAAATGACTTATCTGTTTGATGAAAGCACTCTCTAAGACAGGCATTTGAAGTGACTCGAGGTATAGTGTTTTTAGTCACCTAAACAAAAAGGGATTATTAATAATACCCATATGTTTAACCATATGTTAATATAACAAAGGTATTTCACCCGGGAGGATTGCTAATGCTTTATGCAGGAGACAACACTAAGGATGTGCACTTTAGCTTTTTCTCCATTGGCTCTATTTACCAGGACTTATAACTATTTTTTAAATTTGCACTGACAGTTAAAGTTTCAGGACAAGATTGGATCAAGAAGAAAGTGGTGGTAGACCCCCAAACGCTTTTCCTGAAAATTGAAATATTAGTGCAAATTAAAAAGTATCACGGTGAGGCTACTATGCAAAGTCTGTTGAAATGCTTAGGCTGAAAGCTATGCTTAGAAAAATATATAAATTATAACATTTGCATTAAAAATACATACATGTACTGTGTGAATTCAATTTGATTTCCCTTTATAATATTTGGATACAGACATAACTTAGTGTCCTCTTGGTCTACATTACAGTCCAAAAACAGAAGATAGCTTAGTATCCTCTTGATCTACATTACAGTCCAAAAACAGAAGATAACCTGGTATCCTCTTGATCTACATTACAGTCCTGTAGCAGACGTCTGAAATTTTCTGCACTAATAAATTGCAGAAGAAAAGCTGGTCATAAGTATTTTTCCCATACTGGACATGTAGGGAAAAGACATTGCAAGTGAACACCAATCCTGAAATACTGAAAACTGATTTCCAGTTCCTAGATCCCTGGAGGGACATCTATCAAGAAGAATCTGTGAACTCCATAGTTGTGTTGCAATTTTCATTTCATTTAAAAGTGTAATCCATGTGCCCCACATAATACTTAGGCTTGAAACTATACTATTATAATAGACACCTATTGCCTATGACTCCTATAAAGTGTGTACTGTGTGTGTGCATTGTGTTGATGTGACTAGACTTCGTAGGGAGTTTTTCCTGTGAGTAAACCTGCAGATAGTTGGTAATTATGCTCACTATGTGCAGTTTCAGCTGCCACTTAGATTTCATGGTCAATAGA